CATTCTAAAGGGATTTTTATAGATTGGTTATTCTCCATCTTAAATTTCTTCAAGATCTCTCTTGCATAACCTTCTTGAGAGATGAAGATCTCATCTTCTGTTTGTTTGACTTCAATGCCAAGGTAGAATGTCATGAGCCCAATATCTGTCATTTCAAACTCTTTTGTCATCGCTTCTTTGAACTTTTCAAAAATGCTTGGATTGTTTCCGGTGAAGATCAAGTCATCGACATATAAACAAACAATCAAGATATTTTCAACCTCATTCTTGATGTAAAGAGCATGCTCATACAGACACTTCATGAAACATTTCTCTTACAAATACTTGTCTATTTGGCTATTCCATGCTCTTGGTGCTTGCTTTAGCCCGTATAAAGCCTATAGAGCCTTTTTTAGCTTTAGAACCTTGTCTTCTTGCCCTTTGATTTCATATCCTGGTGGCTGCTTAATGTAGACTTTTTCTTCAAGTATTTCATTCAAGAAGGCAGATTTTACATCCATCTGATGTATTTTTCACTTATTTTGAGTTGCCAAAGAGATGATTAGTCTAATAGTTTCTAGTCGAGCAACAGAGGCAAATACCTCATCATAGTTAATGCCTGCTCTTTGACTGTAGTCATTTACCACCAATCTTGTCTTGTATCTTTCAACATCTCATTTGGAATTCTTCTTCGCTTTGTACACCCACTTCACATCAATTGCCTTATGCCCTTTAGGAAGTGAAGCTAGAAGCTAGCTAGCTCCCATGTGTCGTTCTTCTTGATTGCCTTGATTTCTTCATCCATTACATCTTTCCACTTCTTGCTTTGTATGACTTCTTTGAAGTCCATGGGTTCACAGTCGACAAAGAGACAAGAAAAAGTAAGATTATTTTGATTCATAGTTACCTCATAAATATCTTCTAATCTTCTGAAGTGTGGTACTCTTTCACTTGAATTCTCTCTTGAAGTTGTTGACGATAAGTTGCTTTGATTACTTGTTGTTTGTGGAGTAGTAGACTCTTCTCTTGCTTGCTCAATCCTTGGTTGCTCTACGTCTTCTTCTTAGAAGTATGGGAAAAAGTTGTAGTCCTCAGCATGTAGTCCCCAGTCTCATTCTCCTCCTTCATTGAATATGACATCTCTGCTGATGGTTGTTTTCCCTGTACTTGGATTGTATAACTTGTAGCCTTTCGAGTTGTTGTCGTAACCAATAAAAAGGAACTTCTTGCTCTTGTCATCCAGCTTACTTCTTTTCTCGTCGGGTATGTGCACATGAGTTATGCATCCAAAAACTCGTAAATGAGAGATGTCGGGCTTTCTTCCACTTCTTGCTTCTTGTGGTGTCTTACTCAATTTCTTCATCCATTCCATCTTTCCACTTCTTGCTTTGTATGGCTTCTTGGAGTTCCATGGGTTCACAGTCGGCAAAGAGATAAAAAAGAGTAAGATTATCTTGATTCATAGTTACCTCATAAAGATCTTATAATCTTCTGAAGCGTGGTACTCTTTCACTTGAATTTTCTTGTGAAGTTGATGACGATGAGTTGCTTCTTGTGGTGTCTTTCCCAACATACTTCTTGTTGGTGATCGGTTAGCCAAATAAACAACACATGCAACCGCTTCTGCCCAAAACTCCTTCAACAATCTCTTGCTTTTTAACATGCTCCTTGTCATGTTGAGGACGGTTCTATTCTTCCTTTTTGCTACTCCATTTTGTTAGGGGATCTTGGAACAGTTAGAAGTCGACGTATTCCGCTGGCTTCATAAAATTCTTGAAATTCCTTTGAAGTGAATTCTCCTCCTCGATCAGATCGCAAAGCTTTGAACTTAAGACCATTTTATTTCTCTACATCTGCCCTAAACTTCTTGAATATTCCAAAAACCTCTGATTTTTGTTTTAAGAAATACACCCATGTTTTTCGTGAAAAATCATCTATGAAGAGAAGAAAATAGTTACTCTTACCGAGTGAGTTTGGCTTTATTGGACCACAGACATCTGTATGTATGAGCTCAAGAGGCTTTTGGGCTCTTGAACTTGACTCCCTTGGAAAACTTTTCCTAAAGTGCTTTCCGAGTAAACATCCTTCACATAATTGATCAGGGTGATTGATGCAAGGTAATCCTCTCACCATCTCTTTCTTTGAAAGTGAATCGAGTCCTCCAAAGTTGAGATGCCCAAGTCAAAGATGCCAGAGCCAAGAAGCATCTTTATAACAGGTCTTCAGACATTTGGCAATATCATTTTGAATGTTGAGTGAGAACATTCTATTTTTAGACATTGGCACCTTAGCAATTAAGTTACCAATATTGTCTTTTAAGAAAAGAGTATTTTCTTTCAAGTGAATATCATATTCTTTCTCCAAGAGTTGCCCTAAACTCAAGATGTTGCTTTTCATATTCGGCACAAAGTAAACAATAGAAATAAATTGATGCTTCTCATTTTTTCGACGGATGAGAATGTTACCTTTGTCTTTCACCTCTAACTTGGACTCATCTCCAAAAGACACATTGCCGCTTACTGATTCGTCAAGCTCTACGAACATGCTTCGTCTCCCACACATATGGTTGCTTGCACCGGTGTCCAGGTACCATGTACTATCTTCACCTCTTTCATTATCCTTGTATGCTAGAAGTAGAGTGCCATCTTCTTCTCTTTTTTCTTGTATGTAGTTGACTCTTTCATTAACTTTGTACTTAGGTGCTTTACATTCTTTTGCATAATGCCCGAACTTGTTACAATTATAGCACTTAATTTGAGACTTATCATACCTCGAGTTTGAGCGTTCTTGACCACGTCCTCTTGTAGATTTTTCTCCTTTCTCATAGTTATTGTTGGTACTCTATCCTTGCTTACTAGCATGACCTCGTCCTTGTCCAGTACCTCTTCCATGTTGGCTTCTAATGTTGTTGATGCTTCCATCTTTCTGAGTTGATTGGAGATTCATCTTGAGAAGTTGTTCGACAATCTCTTCATTCATCTTCTTCTTTTCTTCATGGGCTTGCAATGAACCCAGAAGTTGCTCTATTGTCATAGCTTGTAAGTCCTTTGTCTATTCGATAATGGTTGTGATACTATCAAATTTTGAATCTAGCAATCGAAGAATCTTTTTTATGATAGCCACATCTTCTAACTTCTCACAATTTCTTTTTATTTGATTGGAAATGGTAATGACTCTAGAAAAGTAATCGGAGACCAACTTGTCTTCTTTCATATGCAAAACATCAAATTGGCTTCTTAAAATTTGAAGTCGTACCTTTTTAACATTCTCTTCTCCCTTATATGAAACCTCGAGCTTCTTTCATGCTAGTTTGGCCGAAGTAGCACTTGAGATCTTCTCAAAATCATCTTCATCTAAAGCTTGATAAATGAGGAAGAGAGCCTTCTTGTCTCTCTTTCGCAAGTCTCTTAAGCTACCCTTTTGTGTTGTGGATAAAGCGGACTCGTCGCTTGGCTCATCGTAGCCTTTCTCCACAACCTCCCAAACGTCATGCGCTCCAAGGAGTCATTCATCTTGATACTCCAATTGTCGTAGATGCTTTCCTTAAGCATCGGAACTTGGAACGAAACCATGTCACCGTTTGCATTTGCTCTGTAATGACCTTTAGGCTCTGATACCAGTTTGTTGGAATGGAGAAGCTTTTAGGATATGACAAAGACAAAAAAAACTTATGAAAGAAGCTTCACTTTTATTTATCACCTTTACTTGACTTGATACAAACTCAAAGACTTCACCCCTATTTATACTAGTGGCACCTCTTAAATTAATGGTTAGGATTGTGCCACTACAATTCCAATCCAATGGTTACAAATAATTTCACACTTATCACACCACACCTACCACACCTATTACACAATTATTTCATACCTACCACATATTCTAGAGTAAGCTTCTAGAAATTAAATTTTATTTAAACAACTAAAATAAAATTTATATTTCAACATTTACATATATATATATAGCTGCTAAATGCTTTTGAAACCAATATCATAAATATTGGATTTTGTTCGTGTTAGTTTTGATACTTTGATACAACCATAATAATATAGAAGTAAATTTACATAACTTTTCATTCATATTTTTCAAAAAGAAAAAAATAAAACTAATTAAATTAAAAAACTACATATTACTTCCAGGTGTAGTTTTTTGTATAAATCAGTGCCATTTAAATGATGTTAAAATCGTTCCCTGCAATGACCGCGTAGACTAAAAAAACGATTTTTTTTCTTGTTATTACAAAGAGCGATGAAATTTTCTAACTATATGATTATCTGGCAAATTGCATCAAGTCAAACTGGCAGGACGTAAACTTAACTGGCAAATGGCTTACTTTGCTTTAATTGAACATATTCGTTCCATTTGCGCCCTTCCAGTCGCCGAAGCTCAACCCAAGAAAGCTTGCCCGTTACAGAAACTCTACAATACTCTTTTAAGTATGAAATAATTACATATAGAAGACAAGAAATATTGATATTTATATGATCTTTTAAATTATGAAATTGATATATTTATATGTGTCAGGAACAAACTATTATGAATATGATAAAAATGAAAATATGGGTTGAAGCCTTATTATGATCGTTGATTTTTTTAGTGAGAATTGGAAAAAAATGGATAAAAAGGATGCTCGATTTGTAAATAACAATATTTTGGGCGCCGAACATTATTTTTCAAATTAGGAACTTCTGTGCTATAAAGATAATAGTATTATAGCAATTAATGATAAAATTAATGAGAAAACAGAAAAAAAAAATCAAATAATATTAAATATGAGTAGCAAGTTTCAAAGGAGAGATCGATTTGAAGAAAAAAAGATTAAGTAATTCAGTACAACATTAACCGAAAGGCAACAAAAAAAGAGGACGCATAACAATCTATAAAATCAAGTACAAGCCTCGAATTATTCCACAAAAAAACACAACACGAACCGAATAAGAAGGCGGACCTTAGACCCAAAAACCAAGCAAGAAAACCAGACCAGACAGGGTCAAGCCATTTTACATCGCTCAAGAAATAAAGCATTAGATAAGCCAGATCCGTGTGCCGTAGATCGCAACTTCGCCCGTAATCTTCACGACAAGAACGTAGACTCCCTCCGCCAACGCCGGCTTGGTCTGCCACACGACTCTGTTGTTGTCGTCGAGGATGGAGAGCTGCCCCAGGAAATTGAGCCTCGCATAGCAATGGCGGCTGCTGCTTCCATACCTACCTGCCGGGCTTGACCAGGTGACGCCCACGGCAGCCTTGGTGAACTCCAGGACACACCCTTGCTTGACTCCGAATGTGTAGTCCCTGCTCACCAGCGTCGAATTCTCGTTCAATATCTCGGAAGAGAACAGCAGGTTGGGCACGTTCGGTTGGTTATCGATCTTATTCTGCTCCTCGGCGCTGCTTTCGGCGCTAAGTTTGTTGAATCGGGGAATGGCCCACAGAGCGGGGCCGTAGATACCGAAACGGCCATCGGGCTGGAGAATGCCGGCGTAATTGCCCTTGGGGCCGGAGGAGTCGGATGTCCATATGACCGTGCCTAGGCTGTTTTTAACCTGAAGCTGGCCGTATTCGGTTAAGCCGGCGGTGCAGTTGGGGCCGAAACCGCTGGTGCCGGATTGAAAGCCTTTGGGATTGTAAAGCACGAGGTTGCAGTCGTTTTGCATAACGAGAACGGAATTGGGGCTGGTGAGTTGGCTGTCGGTGTAGAGGACGTCGCCGGTGACGATGATGTTGCCCTCGTTGGCAGCGGAAGGGGAGGGGAAGAAGAGGAGGGGGAGGAGGGTGGATAGGAGGACGAGAGTGGATGGCAACGACGCCATTTATGTTGAATCTATAAGCTTATTTTGCTTGGTTGATGTCTAGCAATGCTGAACTACTGCCTTATTTATAACATAGCGAGGCGCCTTGGTTTTTTGGCATATTTTGAATGCCCAAGTCATTGAATTTGCCGTTTGAAGCGCCGAGTCTATTGCAGAGACGAGATCAGCGGTAGGGCGGGAGAACTCTTGGAGTATATGAACAAAATAATGAAGATGCATGGGCGGGACGGGCTTGGTCAAGAAAATGGCGGTCGTAATGCAATTTTTTATTTTTTATTTTTTATTTTAATTTGGAAATATCAATGATCCGGGTGGTCTGTATGCAATTATCTCTTTATGTTTTGTGGCCTCCCCGAATTTATTTGCTGCGCATTATTGTTTCGGATTAAGTCCATTTAGAATTCGAACAACTTTGGCTTTGGAACGGGTCAATTCATAGGTGTTTATTCTGATTAAAATAATTGTCGATGGCTATTTTATATTGAAATATTTTAAGAAAAAATTATTAAAATATAGCAAATATGTAACTTTGGATTTTCCTGAAAGAAACCAGCATGAATAAACTTCTCATTACCTTCCTTACAAAGCAATATATATATATATATATATATATAGATAGATAGATAGATATATATATAAAAGTTATTTGGATATAGAAGACTGCTCCAATCTTTTTGAATCGTAATTTTTTTTTCTCTATGGGCATGTCATTAATCTAGTTAATATGATTTTATTGGCTTTTAAGCCTTAAAAAATGATTGACCATTGCCATGAAAGGCCCACCAAAACCCCCACAGTTTGCCACCTCGATATTCATTCAATAGTTATCTTTGCTTGTAAGAATGTTTACTGAAAAGACTTAAGGGCTATTATTCTTTTTCATGGAGCTTGGTATTTGATCCTATAGTGCTTCACTGATAATCCTTTTAAGACTTAGGATCACATATTATTCGTGAGCGCATATAATCTAGTAAAGACCTTATATGGAATGGAATGAATATGCATGTGTGTGTGTGTGTGTGTGTGTGTGTGTGTGTGTGGGGGTGGGTGGGGGTGTGTGGGGGGGGGGGGGGGGGGCGG